AGGATTTGCCTAAATAGTAAAAAGTGCAACTTACATGTGTACAAGTGTTGATTATTTTCAAAGGTGTGTGTAAATCCAGAAGTTTTGAAGGGATATTATCTACAGGTTCGGTCTCACTGTAGATAGACTATGGTATGGTAAGTGAGTCATAGTCATGAGTTCTATCCATGTGGTATCTGTTTTACGTAGAACTCAATGTGGTTCCACCAGAGTGCTACCAAGAGGGTTGCTGAAGGGAGGCTACCAAAGCCAACTAAGGGCAATTTAGATCTAGTCTAGAATTTCTTTCTAGGAGCTGTCCAACTATAGCCTAAGACTGTCTACCTACAGCCTAGCACTAGGATTGTCCAACTATAGCCTAAGAGTAGGACCCTATAACGATGTTCGTATAAAAAAACAAATCGAGCCCCAAATAATAGAAATAATCTTACCTCAAATTGAGGGATCCTCTAGACCAAAGGTGAAGTCTTAAACTTCCAAAAGCTGCTCGGAACAGTCCTATTGAAGAAACGAAACACGTGTTGTAGGTTAATAATCCTGAAGAAAATCTCAAACTTACCAAAACAAAATCCAAAATGACCAAGGGACGACTCCAGACAATTATCAATAAGAAATTAGTCTAAACCTTGAGTTCCCTGGCACAAAATTCCAAAAAGTCTCGCCCAAAATCAAATAGGGCCGAGACCAACCTTTCGGTATCAAGTCTCAAGATCAAAAAAGGCTGATTCTTCCTTTAGATTTCGGAAGAAGGCTTTCACTTGTCAAACTTCTAATTTTGACATTGAAGAAAATTATAGAAAAAAAGCGTGTTCAATTTCACTCCAAGAATACGAACTGAAAGTTTGGTTGTATAAAAATGACTGGTGAATATTGAAAAATGCCTATAGAACATATATCAAAAAGTAGAACAGGTCTAAAGAAAACGCCTAGACAAAACAGCTGTTCAATGACATGATGGAAATGAAAAATCAAAAAATAAACAACAATTATTATCATAACCTCAGATTATTTATTTATCAATTAGATTTGCAAACAGAGATGATGAAAAAAATCTCTCCTTTATATAAGATTCTAATCAATAACGGCGGGCCCTGCCGTACTGAATCAAACCTTCCTAGATCAATCAACAAAACTTGCAAACCTGCACAAAAAACTTTCAGTAGAAGGCAGTAATCAAGGTAACAAAATCTGGGCACAGAAAAGACAGCTGTTTATTCATTTATTTCATTGCAGTTCTATAATCATATCTACTAGAGCAAAACACAGTAGCATATCAAACAAGAAATTGAAAATGCTACAGTCTATCAGAGCAAAATATGCTTCCCTTGCTGCCGATAAGTTAACCTCCGACGCTATGACCCTCAGGGCATAACAACCCCCAGAAAGCTTCCTCGACAGTTGCAAAATGTGTTCATTGAACTTCAGCTGCTCATCAACCGAGAGACCCAAAAATTTATTCTGTGTGACATTGGCTATGGATTCCCTATTCAACAGCACCCCCTCTAAGTGACACTTAAAGCATAAAACATTTGTCTTGGAGACATTCAGAGTCAGGAAATTTGAATCGCACCAATCTTTTATTTTACCCAGATCCTCACTTACATAATTTGCCAATTCATTCGGGTCTCTTGAGTGCCACAAGATCGTAGCATCATCAGCAAACATGGTAAAGGAACCAGATATTTCCAAAGTTGCCAAATCGTTTATATATATTAGGAATAACAAAGGCCCGAGGACGGATCCCTGTGGTACTCCAGAAGTTATGGCTAAACTTGATGAAGTGCTATTATCGAAAATGACAGACAGATTTATAGATGAGTTTATGAAAAATAAGGAATGGGACAGGGAAATAGAATAGAAAAGAAAAACTAATGAGAGTGAAAAAGTTACAAACAGCAAAGATATTGTAAACCATGAATAGCTGAATAGGCATTTTTCTTCAGTGGGTGAAAACATTGTCAATACCATAAACACCGAAATTCAAGATCTGGGTGGGGATCTCCAAAGTTTTAATGAAATAACTTGTAATAATACTACGTATTGTCAACCATGTAGTGAAATAGGAATCTGGTAAATTATACACGGTTTAAAAAAAAGATTAGCCACAGGCCATGACTGGGTTTTGGTTTTAGATATAATTAATTTACAGGAGCAAATGATTCCTATCCTGACTAAGATTACCAATTTGCTATTGAACAGTAGTAACTTTCTAAAAGTATTGAAAATAACTAGAATTAGCCCTATATATAGGTCTGGAAATAAGGACAATGTTAACAACTACAGACCAATCAGTGGAATCAGTGTTTTCAGTAAGATTTTGGAAAAAATTATCAAAAAAAGAATGCTTATTCTCATAGATAAATATATAAGTTTAGATAAATATCAGTATGGATTTATAAGAAATAGCTCCACACTTAGTGCAACAGCAGACCTTGTAAATAAAATATCATATGAATTAGAAAATAGGAGAATTAATATCAGTATTTGTAGATCTTCGAAAAGCTTTTGATCATGCGGATGATACATACTATATTGGTCTATAGAGCAGAAAATATTGATCAATTGGAGTTGGATGTAAATAGGGATCTAACTCGGGATTTAATATTGTATAAAGATTGGTTGCTATACAATAGGCTAAAAATAAATGTGGAAAAACTAAATTTATTTTATATAAACAAAAAAACAAAATAACTCGTTCTCCCAGTATTAAAATAGATAATATAGACGAAACGTAGAAAATATTAAGTATTTGTGCCTAATAATAGACTGCAATCTTAATTGGAGGAACAATGTGAATGAAAAGATTTGTATATTAGATAATGCCTACTTTTTGTCGCATCTCAGGTACCTACTTTCTGTGTAAGGTACGTGTGGAGTGATCGAGTTCAATAACGTAAAAATTTTACAAAAAAAAAAATTAGAGATTCTTGTTGTGTGATAACATACACTTAACAAATCTAAGAACGAACCTAACAAAGGGCTGTTCAATCCCGTATAAGTAGGTAGCATCAGAGACATTAAAATGAACTACCTGTAAATATATATACCTAATGAAGCTAGGTTTATTAAAGAGGTGAAAATACCTACATATTGGAATTCAGGAAAGTTGATGCAGATCATTTATTGTGTATCGTTGCCAAAATTAATACATTATTGAATATTCTATTGTTTCTTGTTGTTGCCAATAGGTTTTTGGGTATGTGCTAAGAAATCATCTTTGAGACAGTGCACTAGGCACTGATTAAAGGATTCTTTATGTAGATAAAAAAAATTATGGTATTTGATAATAAATTAATGTTTTCAAAAAAAAAAAAAAAATGGAATGCTTTTTATTAACGTTGAGGCGTTGAGAGTTGGATTCCAAAATTGATTTTTTGGATTTTTGATGAGCCAGTATATTTTAATGTGTGTTTATATAGTGTGTTTTTTTTCTGAAATGCCTATTGAACTCTAGTTCTGAGGGTTGATTTGTAGACTTAAGAAGTTGTTTTTTGGGATTGAAATGTAGGGAATTCCAAACAACAAAAATATGTAGGTAATTTGATTTGTAAAAATTGTATTTTTTCAATGCATACAAACAAAATTTTTAACAGATTTTTTCCTTTTGAAATAGGCATTCATTCGGAGGAGATTTCAACATGAATTGCGACCAACCGAGTTATTCAGCTTTACCGAGAGAAATTATATAGTTCAAACCAATGAGAATTAGTGCGCTCTACTTCCAGATTTTTTTTAAATTTAATACATAGTCCAAAAAGTTTGCCTGAAATCGCATAGTTTTAAAAGATAACATGTTTCTATTTACATTCATTGTTTAACATTAAGTACTGCCAGAAAAAAGAGAGAGTCGCATTAATGTGAATTTCGAGCTTAATTTCAAATTCGATGCATGCCTACTCACCCTTCACCCTACTCGCATGCCTATAAATTGGTTAGTTGTGATTAGGGGATAATCAATTAAACAGTGTTGCTTTCATGATTACAACAAAGAAGGTCTAGGATAGGATAGGTACCTACTAAGGTATTTCAATGTATTCCAGGAAACGATTTTCCTACTTACATCCATAACTGCCAAATGATAGCAAATACATTCTCATATACCTACTTAGGTATATAAAAATGTGCCAATCAAATTGAATTTTCAAATCTTTATATCGCTTCATTATTAATAGGTAGGTATTTAACTATGCCACACATCTGAATAATGTGGAGGGAGGGAATGTTATTTAAATATTGGTTATAATCATTTGTTTTTAAAATGAAAAATAAAAATGGATTTAATTTATGTATACAAAAATAATAATCAGTTTATTAGTTTATAAATATGAAATGAAGCTTACTTTATCAATTTTATCATAATTCGATTATGAATTATTTAATTCTGAAAAATCACTTCCATAATTTTGGGTGATTGTGCTATTATGATAAATATAATAATCGTAGGTCGAGATGTATGGTAGGTACCTACCTACCTATAACCAATAATTATTTATTATTGAGAAGTTGCAATTGAGAAATTATTAGAAAACAAGTTACCTATAAATGTATAAGTACTGATGTGCAATATTATTTAAAATAGCATTCCTATGAATTGATACTACTTATACCTGTGACGTGTGATCATTAACAGATATGTAGGGTCAATGGAAATAAAAGAAGCACTGCATGTAATGGGGTCCTAGGGCTACGGCCATCGGGGCATATTATATAGAATAGAACATAAATATACATACTTATATAGGGAGTTCAACTTTTAAGGTTAGGTGTTATCTTATGGAAGGCAAACTTGACTCTTTAATGGGGCAGAAAATAGGCAATGCTATGAATGCTATGATTATTTGTTGAAGGTTCAATTTATATTTTGTTTATATACATGACACACTTTAAAAAAATTGCATAACAAAATACAAGTCCATGTTGAATGATAAAATGTAATTGGCTTTCACTTTAATGAATATAGCACAAAATAGGTAGGTTTTAAAATAAACTAGGTAGCTTACCTGCTGTTTTCCAGACTTTGTGTAATTTTATCTTGGTATGTAGTATTCATAGTTGTTAAATGTTCACTAGTTAATAAAACCATAGAAAGGTTAGACCTAGGAAAGACAATAATCACAGGTTAGATGAAAAGAAATGGCAATTTGATTTGAATAACGAATTTTGGTTAACTTTTAATTGAAAGTCACTTTTCGTATTGCACAAAAACCGATAGTACGAAGTGTCGTGTTGTTAATACACCGCGAAATACTCGGGCTGAAATAAATTACAAAAATTAAAAACCTATAGTGGCATTCTATTTGCTGACGACAGATCGTCTGAGGAAAGCTGACGAATGAAATTCCGTCTAGGTACGCTAGGGTGGGGTTCGTAAAAAACCTTCAATTCTTTTTGCAATTTTTGTCTCTACAGAGGCGCTGACAATTAAATTATTTTGATTTGTTTGGAATATTTTTTTATTAAATCATAATATATGAGGTATCTGGTTGTACAAATGACCTAGATCAAGTCATAAAATGTAGAACTATTGGTGCCAAAAGGTCGATTATTTGAAAAGTCGTCCGTTATGTCACCCCATAATAGTGCGTTATTATTGGCTGGGGCATGCTCTTATTTCCGATTGGATGATTCAAATTTTCAAATTGTAATGGAAAGTGTCCTCCACAGTCCACACTGACCACACTCTCCTCTCCCCACACAAATTTTAATATAACGAATGATAACTCACCAGCTGGTTACGGACGATGAGCGATATTTGTATATTTTTTATTAAATTAAATTTCACTTTTAATAGCCCAAGCATATCCACAAAATTTGAGAATTTGGTTAACAAATATTTATACCTACTTTTATGGGGTGATGCGTTTTTTTTGTCACACAGTATAAATAAGTACCTATGTCAGACTTTAGCTTAGCAGTGAGCTATGCTATATGCTATAGGTACCTCTAATATATATTTTTTTTGTGGATGGGAAAAACCCAGAAGGCACTTTGCTAGTTGTTGGTGGCAAAGTAGTGCTGTGGGATTTTTACCTCACTAAAAAACCCAGCATCGACTACTAGGGCCATTAGCTCAATTTTTTCAAATTTTATTGAACAAGTTAATACTTTTCATGTATTCTAATGTATTTTTAATGTTTTTTTTTTCAGATTTTCTTCGATGTTTCGACTCAAACCCTATCTTATTTGCCTTTGCATGTTGAACACAGGACATTCATTGGTGATATGTATGACCGAGAGAACTTCGTTGCAGTGGTCACATATTGGTGCCGGCGCTTCGCCTTTGAGAAGATGCTGATGCGTAAAGTTTGTATGTCCTGTACGAAGTCAAAATGTTTTTGTCGTTTCTAGTCTGTTCAATCCTGTTGAATCGTATTTCTGCTCAACAGTTGGTTCTAGTCTACGAAGTAAGGAGTTAGTCCCATTGCATTTATCTTGCCATTCATCCAGATGTTTTTTTCCACTTTGTTTATGAAGTCTTTTATTTTCACAGGTTCACTATCTACTGCTTGATCGACATCCTAATGATTTGCAAGAGCATCGGGGAAATCTACATTGATAGCCTCCACATATTCTAGTTATCGCACTGCTAGAGGAGGAGTGATTGTGCTCCTATTTGAATAATTATTTTCGTTGGGAAATAAAAATTCATTGCTAGAATTTCTGGGGTTAGAATTATAACGCCTGCTAGGTATGTTGTACTTAGTATTTTTCTTCTTTCTTCCAGGGCCATTAGAGCGGATTCACAGTAAAAACTTTGGATAGGAGTTGTCGGGAATGCGTTAAGACAATATCGTATCCCTAAGTATATATTCTGAATTTTGTCAAAGATACCTAATTGACTTTTTCTTGCTGAGGAGTACACAATGCTGCCGTAATCTATCCTATACAGTATACTAATGCTAATGCTTCATATATCATAATAAGACTTTTTGGGTCGGCTCCCCATTTTGTATGTGCTTAAGGCTTTTAGCATGTTGAATGATTTTCTGCATTTTATGATTTTGTCTTATCAAGTTGGATGTTTTCGTGCCAGTTACGCCTGCTGACAAATATTACTGCTAGAAATTTGGTTGCACCAACAGTCTCTATTGCGTTTTCATTCAGATGCAGCAGTGGGTCATAATGAGGGTTTCTAAGCCTGCAGAAGTGTACACATTTTGTTTCTTCTTTGGAGAATTGAAAGCCAATTCTTTCCCCGTTGTTAATTATCTTGTTGATTGCTGGTTGCAATATCCTTGTTATGTCTCCTATTTTCTTACCACTGCAAAAAATTGCTACGTCATCAGCATAGAGACATTTTTTGATTTCTTGGTTGATATCTGTACAATTCCATTTATGGCAATTGCAACCAGAGCACAGCTGATTGTTGAGCCTTGTGGAACATCATTTTCTAGTAGTCGATTTATTGATAATTTATTTGCGACTCTTACTTTAAACTGTCTGTTTCCAAGAAATGATTTAATCAACAATAGAAGTTTCCCCTTCTTCCCAAACTTGGACAATTTGTCCAAAATTCCATGACTCCACGTCATCCAACGCTCATCCTTTTATGTCAAAACTCAAAGAAGACAACTACCAGATGTGTCTGAGGCTTGATGGTGACAATTTGTCCTTGTTACTTGTCAGGTTTGGGTATAGGAACTACCACTGCTTGTTTCCAGGCTTCCACGATTCTTCTTGCTTTTGCTCTAGCTCTCTTGAACTCTATTAAGTTTTCAATGGTCGGACATCTTTTAAATTTGTTCAGTGGTAGTTTTTTAAGTTTAATTACATTACCACAGATCACCTAATACAGATGCGTATGCGTAAGTATGTATACTTGCTGTCGACGATATTCTGTGACGAAGCCGGGCCGCCAGCGGCCCCACGCATAGATAAAGATCGCCCGCGACAGGACAATTAACGTGGCCGAGTGCGTGAGCATGTTCCAGCCTGTGTGTTTACATATTTTTGCGGGTAGAAAAAAATATTTTTTTGCTGTTTGTGAACCAATTAAAGAAATAATATTATATTATTGAGCTTCCGCATTTATATAATAAATGTGTTCAAAATACATTGATGTGGCATTGGTGCGGCCAGCCTATGTCTATCAAATTAATCTTGAACCACTCTTTCGCATCTGTATGTAAGTAATCTGTGACATTACATTACATTACATTTCGTCGTTCCACCATGGTACGACTTTCTTAATTGGTTTACCTCTAGACTTTGGTATACCTACTTTTATTTCCTCCACATTTATACCTCTATTGATGGTTTAGGTGAATTTCTAAAATTTCCCTAGTTTGCTTTGGTTATGTTGCTGTTATTTAGATCATCTCCATCAGTTCTCCAGGTAAATCTAGATAATAAATTAATTCGAGTGCGAGCACCCGCCAGAGCCACAAGTCCTTTTCAGGACCACTTAAGAAATCGTTTAACTCTTGGTTGCTCCAGTACTCCAGTTCCGAGACTTTTATCCGCGTGCCAAGTGCCATGTCCGTCCAAGTTGCGTCAGCGTCGGTAGACCAGCTCGTTCGGCCTCCCGACAAAATAATGGTGCCCCGCCGACAGAAACTGACCATCCAGACCAAGCGCAATTCCTCCCTATCACGTTCGAGATCCAGATCAGACCACTCCGACGAGGAGAAACGGAAAGCAGCAGACAAACAGCTACGCACGGCAAGAGCCGATTGCGATAAACTCACCACAGTGGCTGCTCAGTTTAAGACCAAGGGCGAGAAGCTTGAAGCAAACAATAACAGGTTAGTGGAACAACTTGCTGACTTATCCTCCCAAAATCAAAGTTTAACCTCAATCAACTCCTCCTTCTCTGACAAAATCATCCAACTTGAATCTCAAAATGACAACCTCAATAAAACCATCGCCGAGCTTCACTCGAAATCTGCTCAACAAGACCTAACCATTTCAAATCTTAATAGTAAAATCATTTATTTATCTAATCAACTCGAATCAATTCTTAATCAACAACTCAATAATATAAATGAACCAACTGTCGTGGTACCCGCCCCTGCGCCGCGTGATCAGAGTCGTGGTCCATCCGAACCGGCGACATCCGCCGCCGAGTCGGAGATGGATCTCGACTCTGCTTCCGCTGCGAAAGGGGAGGCTTTCACCATGGTGAAGAGCAGCAGATCCAAGAGAAGGAGGAAAAACCGCCAATCCAACCGCCCAAGCTCCTCTCAAAATCCCCTTGATTTTCCCCCACTCCCTTCCACCAGTACCAACACCCAAACCCCCATAAATCCCGTCACCCAAACCCCTAGAAATCCCGTCACCCAAACCCCTAGAAATTCCACCAATACTCCAAACAATCCCCCAGTAGCCCCCACCAAACCTCCTACCAGTAGACACCGTGTTCCCCCAGCGATTCTTAGGGACAAGGCCAAGTACGATCAGGTCGCCTCTTACTTCGCCCAAAATATTAAAACCGTTATTTTGAAGAATGTCGCGGAAGGCATCAAAATCCAGCCTTCCGAGCCATCCGACTATCATAAACTTACTTCATTTATGCAGAACACTAAGATCCCCTACCACTCTTTCTCCTTTCCAGAGGAAAAGAACCTTCACGTAGTAATACGTGGAGTTCCCGAACTCTGGACGGAAGAGAGAGTGAAAGAGGATCTGGTGAGACAGGGCTTCAGTCCCCTGTCAATCAGGCGGTTCTCGCACAAAAGTGGCGATCCGATGGCACTGGTCCTCGTTGTTTCGCCAAAAACACAAAAAAACATCTTCAATATCAAGTATGTCGAACTCATGGCTGTAAAAGTCGAATCGCAAAAAACGAGGGCCAGTTTCACCCAGTGTCACAGATGCCAACTGTTTGGACATTCCTCGCTTAAATGCACTGCCCCACCCAAATGCGTCAAGTGCGCAGACTGTCACTTGACGGGGAAATGCCCAAGGGAACGGACTGAGAAACCTACTTGCGCAAACTGCGGAGGGGAGCACCCTGCTTCCTTCTCAGGTTGCGCAAAACATCCAACAGCCATTAAGGCAAAAATCACAGAGGCCAGAGCTCAGTCCATTCCTTCGGTCAGCACCTTCCAGTGGGGCAGCCAGAACAACCAGGCGCTAAAGGGCGGGAATCTGGACCCACTCGCTGCCATGTTGAAGTCTATGCAAGACAACATGCAACAATTCATGCTCAACATGCAGCAGCAGTTTGTCCAGCTTCTCCCCCAAATGATGTCATCAAAGGTCCAACAGTTGAGCCATCAAAGAACTTGATACGTTACTGAAGCCCTGTCATATAAAGATTGCGACCATCAACATCAATTCAATATTGCATAAGAAGAT